GCCTGGAAGTTAAGATTTTTTTCTGCCTGCTTGTTGAGAACCATCGATGGTTTAGCCAAAGAGTACAAGGATGCTCCAGGTAAATGTATTACCACTCGGTTCATTTCTCTTAATACTGATTTAGCCCAAACTTCTGCCTGAATTACTTTTCGACAAAGCTTCGAAGGCGAACTGTACAGGCGAGGAGATATACTCGGTGATTTCAAATCGCGTCCATGGCAGTCGCGCCACTGTTACCACTTTAATCGCACCGTTGTACTAAAACAGTTACGAAATTAAACATAATCATTATTTATTCACCGGTGATAATGAACTAATTGTGCATCCAGAGTAGCAGGTGAAAAAATTCCCAGATTCTGTTGTAAACAGTCAGTGTAACTGATACGCCAATGCCAGTTGTAAAGGCTTTCCAAACCACCACATCACGAACGAATGGGGCATAAACGAAACAACAAAATCCGTCAAAGTTATTTGTTCTATCACTTATTGATCCTACCAAAATCCGTCAAGTAGCACCATCATAAAGGCAGCAAAAGAGGGAGGTTAGTAACACTGTAGATAAGACGCCACGATAACAGTCATTCTCCAAACTGATCTCTTTCTACGAGAAGGACGTGACTCCAGCAACAGCACTTCGTAAACAACAATCATCTGCTGGCCGAATTCTCGACGATTGTTCCGCCTTTTTACGCTCGAGAGATTTAGCAGAAAAAAAAAGAGCAAAATCACAAACACAAAAACAAGCCTTTCTTGGGACTGAGAAGAATGCCTGTAAGAAGCTGGTTGAGAAACTCAACAACAATTCGGAATTGTCCAAGATAATAACCATGATATTCGGCTTCACATGTCCCAGCTCCTCGATACATGCCGCAAACACATCCTCCACATTTTCGCTTTTCTTTTCGCTTTTCACATGCGGCAACAAATTATACAGCGCTCGACAGAACTGCTTCGGCGATCCATGGTGTACGTAACAATTCACACGCAATATCATCACCTAAACGAAAGCACCGAGATCATCTGCCAAGTCGGCAAGGATTGTCTGCATTGCAACCAAATGTGAGACGCAGTTGGGTCAGGTTTTTTTTTTTGGGCCCGACCTGTGAGTTTAGTGCAAAAATGCATTGTCGTACCGGTAAGCCTGGTGCGTTCCAGCCTGGTCTGGTAAATGCTCGCTCTTCAAAAAAATGCAAATTCCCAGTTCCTTAAAAAGTGGAAATGCTGCTCAGCTGCAGATCAGTTGCTGCTTTCGAGTGACCGCCGGAGCGGAGCGCGGTCATCTCTTTTTTCACCACAAACGTAACCTACCGGTATTCAGTGAGAAAGATGTACTGCCAAGCAAAGCTAGATTACGATGTCCAGCAGCACGTCATCCCCCATGAAGATGACCTCTACTTCATTACACGATGAGCAATTTTGGTACCATTCAACACAACTTCAATGGAAAGTTTTGACAAAACACGGGTCAAACCTCATCGTTTTGCTGCACCTCTTCGATGGCCTTCTGCATCACTTCATCCTTTGCACTGGCGCTCGTCCCATACACATGCAGATGTGTGATACTTGAATTGCGGCACTTCAGCACCGAAACGATTCGCTGCAGCTTCTTCGAGCACGTTGCTTCCATCGATGTCGGAGGAGTGGGGGGAGCAGTTGTTGTTGTTGTTGTTGTCATGCTTGCCTTATTCTCTCTGCTCTCGATTACTCACAAATCTCAAAGTTATCGACGTACTGAGGGGGAAAAAGGAACAACAAATGAACAAATACGAATAAAAATCCCAGGACTGTCCACGTAGCTGCCCCGGAATTTTCGATTCCCTCAGCGTAGCCAGGTACCCCTTGCTGACTTAAGAGAAATGCACCACTATTACAGTTATCTTCACGAAAGCCCACGTCTGGGCTGCTCATGGGTCGCCCGAGTGGTCGTTTACTTACCCGCCG